TGTAGTGTCTCTGTTCTGTTTGTTTGAAAGTTTCTATAAACATCAGGCTGCAGTGTGGTCCCTTTGGCCAGCAGCCCTAGCAGGGAGCTTTTATTTCCTTCTTCCAGTCATCATCACTTTCTACATTTTCTATGGTAAATGAGAAATGTTAATTTCAAAAATAAACTTAAGAATCATGAGCAATTAAAATTAATTACATGTCCATGTCTAGAAGCTGAAAAAATACCATATTTTGGGGCTGGGAGACAGCTGAATCTATAAAGTACTTGCTCACACAGGTGAAAGAACCCAAGTTTGTACCCCACACCCTGTGTCAAAAGCTGGTGCATGCATAGTGGTGCATGTCTGTAGCCTGGTCCTGGGGAGTTAGAGACAGGAAGATCCTGGAGCCTCAGTAGGCAGACAACTTAGCCAAAACAGCAACAGACAGACAGTCCCTGTCTCAAAATAATAATAATAATAATAATAATAATAATAATAATAATAATAGTAGTAGTAGTAGTAGTAGTAGTGGTGAGGAGGAGGATGAGTAACACACAAGGTTAACCTCTAGCCTCCAAACTCAAGTGCACACACTCCATGCATGTGCAAGTAAATACATTTAACATAAAATGACATTATTCTATAGTCCTGGATAGAATTTGCCTTGACCATGCTTTTGGCTCTGCTCTTGGTTTCATCTTCTTCACAAATGAAGCCTCAAAAAATAAAATAAAATAAAAAACCACCAATACCAACAAAACCTACCACCCTCTGCCAAGTATCACCAATTAATCCTTGACAGTAGAGGGTGAGCGGGTGAGTGTTCCACTGTGGGGTTATCAATCCTGCCAGAATAGGAGGCCTTCTGTGTAGAAACATCTGGAAAGAGCTACTTACACTCTGCACTGGGTCCCCTCAGCATGCATTATTACATAGGACAGTTCTAAAGAGATGTAGCCAGTCACCCGAGCGGCGCTGAGACGTGCATAGTTTACTTGACAGCATTTACAAATTATGTCTCTTGGTCGGAATAACTTAGGCTATGGAAACACTTCCATATGCTAAAGTTGGACACACCACAGTAAGAAGGAAGAAAAGAGAGCCTTCAAGGAGCCAGCTTCCATATACATACTCGACTATAATACGTGCAAATTAATAATGCTGTCCCTAAAGAATTGGCCTTTGATGGGTTTCCAATTCTTTCTACTGTTCTCTGTGGACAATCAACAGTAGCAATTTTACCACAAAATAATGGGTCAGTAAGAATTCAATTGTGAATGTATCTATGTAATGAAAGCAACTGGATACCAATTATAAATCTCATTTTAATCAAAACTATATGATTTTTATCCTCATTTCTTTCTGTTCTTTCAAGTCCCAGGAAGAGGCAATTTCCACCTTCAAATTCCAAAGTACGTGTGTGTGTGTGTGTGTGTGTGTGTGTGTGTGTGTGTGTGTGTGTGTAGCACACGTGTGTTCCTGTGTATTCATGTGCACACGTGTGCCCCATGTATGTATGTCATATGTGTAGGTAAGAGGAAAACCTCAGGCATTGTTCTCAGTCACCATTCACCATTTTTCTTCCTTGAAACAAGCTCTTGCACTGATAATGAAGCTCATGAAGTGAACTATGATGACTGGCCAGTGAGTCCCAGGCATCCCCCCTCTCCCCCATCTCCATCTCCCAATGGTGGGATTACAAAGGTGTGTCATCACTCCTCAATTTTTAAATATGGGTTCTAGGGATTAAACTCAAGCACTTCACTGAATGAACTATATCCTGAGCCCCACCGCCACCCACCCCCTCCCCATTCATTCCTTTCCATCCCGACTTTAGAGCAGAGGTTAGCAAACTTTGGCCCACCAGCCAAATTCAGCTCACCACCTATTTTTGTAAATAAAGCTTTGCTGGCACACAGTTATGACTATTCATATACACAGTGCCTCTGGCTGCCTCCCCCGACCAATCAGAGTTAAATGATTGTGACAGAAAGCCTGGTCCAGAAAAACTTAAGAGTATTCTCTACAACACTTTATGGACAGTGTTGCAGGCTCAGTTAATGAGCATTTCCTTAGTATTGTCACTTTACAGTATTGCAGGCCCTGTTAATGAGCATTTCCTTACTCTGCCTCTTGCAGGCCTTAGTGGATGCTACTACTGCCAGCTCTGCTTTTACTGCCAGGTTTTTGGGGATTCCCCAAGATGACAGCCACAGTTGCACAGAGCTCTAACAAAACATTGAAAAGCAACCTACCACCCAAAAAAGCCCTAAGTGCCTTCTTTTCTTGGACGAATAGCAAGAACCTTGGCAGCCAAGACACATGTGTTTATTATGTGCAACAACTGTTCTGCAATGTCTTCCCCTGAGTGAAGAAATCTATAAATGGTACGGGGTGGGTTTAAACCAACCTTCAAGTACAAAGTTCTTAAGAATATTTTGACAAGGAAGTACCATATGATATGATATGATATGATATGATATGATATGATATGATACTGTTTTGCTTAGTATTTTAAATTCAACATTCTAAAGCTACTCATAAACCTTTCTTTCTCCATTATTAGTAAAAAGAAAACCTTTGAGAAAGATGAGGGGGATGAGCAAGATGGCTCAGTAGGTAAAGGTTTTTCTACCAAGCCTGATGACCCGAGTTCAATCCCCAGGACCAACACATAGAAGGAGAGAACTGGCTCTCATAATTCTTCCTTTGATCTCCATATGTACCCCTTGGCATGTATAACACACAACACACAGCACACACAACAACAACATTTTTTGCTTTTTTGTTTTTACATCCCAAAGTTTCTCCTCCCTCCTCTCCTCCCATTTCCCCTGCACACACACACCTTCCCTCTTCCCCCTACTCCTCCATCCACTCTTTCTCCTGTTTTTCTTCATATACAGGACAGGCAAGCCTCCCACAGATATCAGCCAGCCATGGTATATCAAGTTACAGTGAGACTAGGCACCTCCTCTTCTATTAAGACTGGATGAGGCAATCTGGCAGGAGGAACAGGTCCCAAAATCAGACAACGGAGTCTGAGGCAGTTCCTGCTCTTACTGTTAGGAGTCTCCCAAGAAGACCAAGCTACACAGTTGTAACATAAACAGAGGGCCCGAGGAGTCAGCCCCATGCAGGCTCCCTGGTGGTCAGCTCAGTCTCTGTGAGTTCCTATGAGCCCTGCTCAGTTGGTTCTGGGGTTTTTTCTTGTGGTGCCCTTGTCCTCTTTGACTCCTACAATCCTTTCTTCCTCTCCCCCCCCCCCACTTTTTTCCCCAGGATTCCCCAAGCTCTGCTTAATGTTTGGCTGTGGGTCTTTGCATGTGTTTCCATCAGCTGCTGGGTGAAGCCTCTCTGATGACAGTTGGACTCACAATAAATGAAATTTATTAAAGAAGTTCTTTAAATAAAAATGAAGGTAACATCTATTTGGGAACCTTTTACTCTGAGATTCAATATATCTATCATTCAGATTATCTTGAAAGACAAAGAGAGACAGCAGAATAATTGGATTATTTATAACATATTTTTAACTGTGATCACATATTTGAGCATCACAAGAACAAGAAGAACACCGTGAGGGCAAGCCAATTATTAGTTCCAGTAATACCAAGCATTAATAACTGAGCGCACAATGATAAGTTTTACAACCTTCTACTTATTTAAATTATGACTGGGGATGAGACAATAGAGTGAGAGGCCATAAATCTCCAAAGCAATCTGGCAAAACGGTGTTTGGACCTTGGTCAGGTCCCCATCATTCCATTAGTTAGTTATTCAGTTAGGTGCACTGAGCACCTAACTAGGCCAGGCTCTATCTAAAGTTACAGCAGTGTGTGAAAACAGCATTCATGGAGCTGTCTTGCCAGTGGGGAACAAGATGCCATCAAGACTTCAATCTGGCGCAACAAAACAGAACATAAACCCATATCTAAAAGAAATTTAGATGAATCAGATGAGAACACCAAACCCTGCTTGGAGGAGGGCGAAACCTTTGCACATGCTCCTGTCTCAGTCCATTTTTGCTTCTGAACCTCCCCTGTGAAAACCCTCTCCTAGCAAAGGACCAAAGAAGCTCAAGCCCACTTCAATATAAATAGCTACTCTTCTCTCAAGGCCCAGGGAGCAGACACAGGCCTGAGGTGCTTTGCTCAAGTGTCACATGTCTATTCCTCAGGAAACCCTGACAGAGCCCCTGCTCTATGGCCAAGCAATACCAAACTGGCAAAGTTGTACAAGAGGTGGGCAGAACTTGAGGAGAAGTGAGCTCTTCGTGTCCTGTGGGCCTAGATAGCTGGCCTCTAGGGACTGAATTAAGGGTTCTTGTCAACTGCCTAGAGCAGTGCTTTTCAACCTTTCTAATGCTTCAACCTTTTCATACAGTTACGCATGTTATGGTGACCCCCACCATAAAATGATTTTGTTGCTACTTCATAACAGTAGTGCTAATGTTATGAATCATAACTCAGATATCTGATATGCAGGCTATCTAATGTGATCTCTGTAAAAGGATCATTTGACCCCACAAATTGAGAACTGCCAGTCTAAATGAATTCAAAGGGAAGCATCAGCAGGAGATGGGGTGCAGTAGAAACTGGGTCCCTCTATCAGTGATCACAGCTCCAAATGGCAAGGTGTGTGTGTGTTGGGGGGGGGGGGTTCCTCTCACATCACTTTTGCTCCTCCAATTTACCCTGCCTATGGCCTTGAAGGTGTTCTTATATGGGCACCAGCCCTGGCCAAGTGCCCCCACTCCTGAGTGAGCCCCTCTGCCTGCAAGCCTCTGCAGAGACATGGGCTGCAAAGCCAGCTCCCTGCTCTCGGATCAGAGACTGTCTTTGAGCACCAGCTTCATATCTGAGATCCTGGGAAAAGATGGAAAAGCTGCTGAATATTCCAGAAATGGGGCTTCTACTCAGAATCAGCTGGGACTAACCTCCAGGTAGAACCAGGATAAGAGACCTGGTCACAGTGACCCCGCCCCCTCTGGCAGAGGAAGGCAATCCAAGACTTACCTTTCTGTGTTCTGGTGAGGGCTGTGGGCAAACAAGCTGGGAACTGAGCAGCAGGAGAGTGACCAGCACACTAGGAAAAAAAAGAGCAACAGACAGGGCTGTGAGTATGGTCCTGGCAGTACCTAGAGGAAGCTGGCATCACTGTCTCATTCCTAGGAGGGAGAGGTCGTTACACCCTGAGTCTTGAGACAGATCCAGAGAAGACACAAAGGGAAGAGGAAACAGCCCCAAGTTGGGGAAAGCCATGACATGGGGCGAAGGGGGGCAGGGGTCAGATGTGGGATTACATCCCAGGCCTACTACCTCCTCACAGGGCTTGCAGGTCTGAGGTAGCTTTTAGGTGTCTTGGTCTCCCCCTCTCAAAGGTGTGGAGGCGGCTGAGTAGAAGTCTACCACCCCTCACGAAGAACACAGCACAAGCCAGTGTGTGCTGGTTAGCAGAGTAGCAAGATCAGTATGAAAAGGGGGTTCAAGCTGGCCCAAAAGCTCCCTTCCAAATAGGCCAGGCTTGCTTTACAGCCCTTATTCTGTCCATCTGTAGCCCTTTTGGTATCACAGGGGATTAGCTACCTTAAGGCCCACTGTCACCAGCCCTTTTTAGGACTTGTCATCAAGTAAAGATATAGTCATGTTTGTTTGTTTGTTTGTTTAGGCATGGCCCAGAGGCAATAAAAAGCAGTATGAAGCTCTGGCTGCAGAGACTTGGGTCCCGATATTGCCATTCCCACCTGGATAATCCTTGGCAAGCTTACATCTCTAGATGATAAATATTCTCATCTTCTGTGAGTATCATGGGACACTGTGGTGGTTTGGAAGAAAATGGCCTCCAAAGAGAGTGGCACTATTAGGAGGTGTAGCCTTGTTGGAATAGATGTGATCTTGTTTGAGAAAATATGTAACTCTGGAAATGTGCTTTGAGGCCTCATACATGCTCAAGCCACATCCAGTGAGACAGTTCACTTCCTGTTGCCTGCACAAGATGTAGAACTCTCAGCTACCTCTTCAGCACCATGTCTGTCTGCACATTGCCACGTCCCAGCACAATGATAGCAGACTATGTCTCTGAAAATGTAAGCCACCCACGTAAATGTTTTCCCTTTATAAGAATTGCCACGGTCACGGTGTCTCTTCACAGTAACAGAAACCCCAACTAAGGCAAAAAGGATAAAAAAAAAAATCTGTGGATAGCAAGTCAGAGGAGACACAGTGGTGCCTGGGCTGGGGAGATGGCATGTCATCAAGCACAGGGGTAAATTTCATCCCCTGAATACACATTTAACAAAAGCCAGGTGGAGTGGGGAGCACTTGTAAACCCAGTGTAGGGGAGGTAGAGACAGGAGGACCCCTGGGGATCCCTGGACAGCCACGCTAATGTGCCCAGTATACAACCTTGTCTAAAAAAATGAGGCAGTACAGTACCAGAGGAATAACACATAAGACTGAACTCTGGCCTTCACCCCTGTACAAGTGAACAGGTACACACACACACACACAGAGAGAGAGAGAGAGAGAGAGAGAGACAGACAGACAGACAGACACACACACACACACAGAGAGAGACATAGAGACAGACACAGGCAGGCAGGCAGGCAGACAGGCAGACAGACAGACAGACAGACACACACACACACACACAGAGAGACAGACAGACAGACACACACACACAGAGAGAGAGAGACAGACAGACAGACACAGGCAGGCAGGCAGGCAGACAGGCAGACAGACAGACAGACACACACACACACACACACACACACACACACACACACACACACAGGAGAATCCAAATGCTCAGAGTCCAGGTTTCTAATCAACAATGCCATTATTCTGAGCATTCCTGGATCACTGCATCTTTTGAATATATTTTTGTGCTTAACCCTGAAGGCAGTTAAATCATGCATCAATTTCCAACATTTTTGAGTCCTCAATCACTGAGGGGTGCAAAACACTGTTCCATCCAAAAATCCCACCCTGTGGGTCTAGGGATGAGAACACAGCAGCATCTGGGAGCCAAGGGTACAGAGTTAGACGATGGTCCCACCCCTCCTCTAAGCATCCAATATGCCACCAAGTCAACAGAATTATATGAGCATCTAATATTAAAGGCAAAAGGATGAAGAGCTGATTTAACAGTTTTAACACTTGCTGAGCCTGTAGCTAGACCATTTCGATCCAGTAAATTTCCCATGGCGGTCACATGTTCAAACTATACTCTCTAATGCACACACAGACCTACACCAGTGGTTCTCAACCTGTGCGTCTCTATCCCTTTGGGGGTCAAATGACTCCTTCACAGGGGTCACCTAAGACCATCCCAAAACATATATTTATTTTACAATTCATAATGGTAGCAATATTACAGTTATGACATAGCAATGAACCTCATTTCATGGTTGGGGACCACCACACATGAGTCCCAGTGGTGGGAGGGTTGTAAACCACTGATCTACACTGTTTGGCACCCACAAGCCTATATATAGTAAAGAACATGTCTTGATAATGATGTTACAGAGTCATCAATCAACTCTAAAAAATATTTATTACAACAACAAAAAATAAAAGTATTCATCTATCAAAAACATCCCTCAACTTTTGATCTTGGTCTTTTCACTTTTTAAGAAATGTTTTTTTAGGACAGTTCCTTTTTCTCTAGATAGCCCCATCAGAGAAGATAATTTAAATATCTGAGCCTCGGACATAGCTCAGCTGGAAAAGCACCTGAGTGTGACATGAAGAATAAAAGGACCCAGAGACTGATATTGGGGTTCAAACTTCAAACTGAACAGTAAAGCAAAGTATCTGGTCACTAGCCCTTACCTCTACCTCAGGCTGAAAGGGCTGATCCTGCTGCCTCTCCTCAGTGTGGCTGGAGAATCCTGAGACTGAATGAATGTCATCCTATCCTCAGCATGGCTGGAGAATGAATGCCTGATACTGAGCCTTCCTATCATCAGTGCGGCTGAAGAATCAATGCCTGATGCTGACTACTTAAGACCCTGCTCTTATCATTTATACTCCTCTAGTGCTAGGATTAAAGGCATGTGATCCCAGGTGCTAATCATCTGGGTGTGAGCCATTTCTCTTTAGGACTGGATCAATCTTGTGTAGATATGGGTAGCCTTAAACTCACAGAGATCTCTTAATCCTGAGTCCTAGGATTAAAAGTGTGTACCACCACCTCCTAGTTTCTGGCTGCTGGGATTAAAGGTGTGTGCCTGGCTTCTATGGCTTGTGGCTGACTTTGTTTTCTGAATCCTTAGGTAAGCTTTAATACATTATAAATAATAATCACCACACTTGAGGCATAAGCAAGAAAACCTGAGTTGGTCTCCAAGACCCTTGGGGAAAAAAAAGTGGCATGGTGGCACAGGATAGTTTTTGTCTTTTTCCCCCTTTTATTTAAAACATCCTTTCTCACATAATCTATCCTGATCACCTGACTACAGTTTCTCCTCTCCCTTCCCCTGTCCCTTCCCATCATCCCTCCCATCCAGATCAATTCCCTTTCTGTCTCTCATTAGAACAGGCTTCAAAGGGATAATAATAAAATACAACAAAAAATAAAATATAATAAGATAAAACAAAAACTATCACATCAAAGTTGGACAGGACAAACTAACAGAAGGAAAAGAACCCAAGAGAAGGCACAAGAATCAGAGACCTACTCATTTGCACACTCAGGAATCCCATAAGAATACTAAACTAGAAGCCATAACATACATGCAGAGGGCCTGGTACAGACTCATGCAGGCCCTGCACATGCTGCCACAGTCTCGGTGAGTTCATATGAGTTTAGAGGGCTTTGTTTCCTTGGTGTCCTCCATCCCCTCTGGCTCTTACATCTTTCTGGCTCCTCTTCCATAGGATTCCCTTAGCTCCGAGGGGAGGATTTGATGGAGACATCCCATTTAGGTGTGGGTGTTCAAGGTCTCTCACTCTGCTTCCTGTGAGTTTCTGTATTTGTTTCCATCTGTTGCAGGAGGAAACTCCAATGATGGCTGAACAAGGCATTATCTATGTGTATAGCAAAATGTCATTGGGAGTCACTTTACTACTATGTTTATTTTTTCTTTTCTTTTTTAGACCAGTATTATTGGTTTTACCCAAGGACCCTGGGTGCTCTAGTCTCTAGTTCTTGGTCACCCAAGCAGTACTGGGTATGGGTTCCATCCCGTGGAGTGGACCTTTCATCAAATCAGTTATTGGTTGGTTACTCTCATAAGCTTTGTGCCACCATTTCACTAAGTTATCTTGTAGGTCAAAGGGTTTGTGGCTGGGTTAGTATTTACATTTCTCCTTTGGTAGAATGCAAAGTACCTTCCTGTACCTAAGATGCTAGAACATAGAGGTGGGTAAAGGCTTGATGTAGGCACCAGCTTGACTTCTCCATATTTGATGAGTTGTGTAGGTTTTGTCTTCAGCAATTGGGTCTTGCTGTCAGTTTGTGGAAAGCAACAGCCTGGGTTGTTGGGAGATTTCTATGGAACCGCTTTGGTTAACATCTCAATTAGATATAACCCAATTCCAGTACTAGAAGCTTTGTATAGATCACTTGTGTGTGTGTGTGTGTGTATGTGTGTGTGTGTGTGTGTGTGTGAAGTTTCTGCCATATTAGGTTTCCCTACATTCATCAAGTACCCCTTAATTTTAGCTATCTCCCTGTATTCCCTCCCTTCACCCTCTCACCTAACTTAATTCTCCTGTTCAGGTTTGCCTATCCATCCATAATTATCTATTCTATTTCCCCTTTCTAAGGAGATCTATCTGTCCCCTCCAGTCTCGTACTCTATGCCTACCCTCCATGGTTCTACGAATTGTAGCTTGGTTATCATTGACTTAAAAGCTAATATACACATATAAGCAAATACTTGTCTTTCTGGGTCTGGGATATCTCATTCAGAATGATTTTTTTTCTAGCTCCATACACTTGCCTGCAAATTTCATGATGTAATTTTTTTTAAAGACTGAGTAATGCTCTGTTGTGTAAATGTACCACATTTTCTTTATTCATTCATCTGTTGAGGGACATCTAAGTTGTTACAAATTTCTGGATATCATGAATAGATCAGC